TTACTTCCGACGACACAAACTCATGCTGAGAGACCCTTCATCGCCCCCAAGCAAAAAAAGCTCTTCATGATTATTTAAATAAATTCTTAAGAAACAGCCAGACGATTTTTGGGCCAAAAATCAGTACAGTTTCTTAGACAATCCGATTAAGCTGCTCTTTGGTTGCGGAAGAATCCACGAATCCGTTCCTGCATGCCCAAAGTTTCGGTGCAGCAAAATGAGTGTACTCCATAACAAGAACTCAACGTTCACTTCGGAAAATGAACGTAAGGGAAACCCAAATCATGACTTTAATGATCGTCCCTAGTTATTGTGGAGTACAAACAGGCCAACTGCCATTTGTTGTGAAATGTCGTGCCAATTTTAAAGTAAAGGAGAAATTTCGAGTTGCAGGTGTATGCATAAATGAAGGAGACGAGGATTCGAGCACCGGAACATTTAGTTTATTGTCTTGAGCTTCCAGACTCCTGCAGAAGTCCATCGTCAGAGGTAGTAGCAGCAACAGAACAAACGACAGTTAGAGGTCTTGTAGGCCAATCATTGACCGACGTCGAAAGACTGTAGGTGACTGCACAGGGCTCTATGCGCCGGCGCCAAATAGGCAAATCATTTGATTGAGTGCTCACCCGAGGCCCAGGCTTCAATCAGTTCTTGGACTCTTTTGTTTCCGGCGTGGACGACTATTTTGGTGACTGCGAAGTTGACCTCTTAATCCATTTCGTAGGTGGGGACGGTCGCTTGTGATAATGCGTCGCCTCGTCGACAGTCATGTTCAGGTCGAATGTCATGTTCATGTATGCGCGATCTCAACGTGCGTTCAGTCTGGCCTGTGCGGTTACAAGGACAATTTTGGCACGGGATGCGATACACTACTCCAGATTACTACTCAGGCTTTAAACAGTCTTTAATTTTTATGACACTGTTGCGCATAGTGGCTTTGGGGCTGTGTGCAATTTCAACACCTAACTCTGCAGAAATACGCTCGGTGGCTTTTGGAACGCCCTTGATGTATGCCAGAGAATGTCATATCGTTTGTGGCGTTGATTTCCGAGTCCTCTGCGAGCGACCGCGTAGGCAGCGACTTATGAATGCCTTCGGATAGCCATTTTGCACAAGCTGGTCGCGGATATAGCGGGTCTCACGCGCTCTGTCCTTCAATTTGCTACAATGAATTTGGATTCGTTTGAAGAACTTCTTAACACAGCTTCGTTTGTGAACCACCGTATGGTTGCTGTGAGAACTGAGTAGCTACGTGGTGTTCCTTGCCTTCCTATAAACCGTAGTTTCCAAGTTCACCGTTAAGGTTTCGTCTGATATGCACATCCATGGAGGGCAAATATTGTTCCTGTTGTTCTTCCCTCGTTAATTTTATATCAGGGAAGACTGCGCTAACCAGGCTGTGGAAATATTGCAGCATATCCCTCTTTACGATAATAAACTTTTCGTCTACGCAAAGGCGTCAAAATAACGACACATGCTGGATGAAGTCAATTTTTTCTAGCTCATCTAGGATCAGTTCTGTCCTTAAACCAAAAACTGGTGGGTTCCTTGGAGTCCCCTTGATCTATACATGGGTCTCTCTAGCAAAAGCGAAGAAAATTTGTTGGCAGAATTCAAACAGCCTCATTAGTTGTTCAATTTTAAGTGCTTACTAAGTCTGGTCATACTCCTCTTCAAGTATATTGCGCAGGACGTCGCAGGCCAAGTTTGGTGGGATGGATGTGAATAACAAAGTGACGTCGAAGGAGACCAGGATTTCGTCCGATTGAACCCTCTGACCTCTGACGACGGACTCCTGCACGAGTTCGAAATCTAAGGACAATGAACAAAATGTTGCGGTGATCGACCCCTTTTCTTCTTCACTTACGCAATTCTAAATTGTCGGGTAAGGAGATCGTCACAAGCCAGCTCAATAAAATTTCGTTGAAAAAACGTCTCTGGTCGCCTGCAATTCACTGATTCCGACACCATGTCTGGAGAATTGGAATCGTCGAGTAACACTGAACGGACACCATAGATAACACTTTTTATTTCGGGAGTGGGTGCATCACCTCCACCACACGGCTGTGCGGGGGCTGTATACCAGGGCTAGTTTGGTTCTAGTAAGTAGCAACTAAGAATTACACGATCCATCTTCTACTTTGAGGAAGGCCAAACTAGGGCTCAGGAGACAGTCTCGTATGAAACTAGTGACTCCAGTACCTCTCCGTCCATTCCGGGTCATGCGGGTTAGTTGGAAAACGTATAGTATGACGTCTTCATTTTTTTGTCCGTTCAGCTTACTATGCTTCGGTTTGAGACATAAAACCAGCTATTTAAAAGGCTACGGTCAGTTGGCCTTTGTTCGGATTGCTGAACTGACGCTATACATTTGCACACAACATAATTGTACTATTTTATTGAAGCAGTCTTTGGAGATTGTCCGTAAGCGCTTGCAACTGACATTCTTTCTGAATATTTCACACGGATGTCCAATCCGCAGCCTGATTTCGCGCGTATGGATGACCGAATAGAGAGAGCGTCAGTGTTGTACAGCTAATTTCATTGACTTATTCCACAGAAGTGAGCACTCTTATTTTACGATTTGGTTGGCCATTATACTAAGGTAGACTTTGTTTACGAACTAACCTTTTTTTCAGTTCTGCTACAGCTGACTTCCTACTCATCAGATAGGTGGAAAAGTAGGGCGGTCGTTGGCGGGACTAAAAAGACGGGCCAGTGGCTGAAATTGCGACAAGAAATTCAGTCCATTAAGAGCCACACAAACAGAAAAGCGGGAGTGGTTAACTTGTGCTATTGTTTCATCATGGAGATGTGGACATAAAACATATCCGTACTATCTGTACCTCAAAAAACTCAGTAGAACTAATCGGTTGGACTGAAAAAATGACAACTCGGACAGGGGCCTTTGCCGTATCGACACATGTTTGGTCCGGGTCTTGGAACGAGACATGCGTCAACAGGGAAGGAGACTCTTCTACAATATACGAATTTTATGTAACGGTCCTGGCCAGTTTCCTGTCCATATTTTTTAGATTTCACTGTGTGAATCTCTCTGAGAATGCTGTTCCTTTGTTTGGTCAAGTTTTGGGCGGACTGTCTTTCCGTTAAATGGCTTTTCTTTGCCCTGGTAAACAGTTAGATTCCCTACAGTTTTTTTGTATCTTCTTTGCAGTGCCCACTGTATCGTTCTGTTTCTTACATTCGTCTGTTGAAGTGGTCATGCTGCCCAGACCTCAGTGATCCATCCCCATAAAAACAAATCCCAGAACAAGAACAGGCACCTGAGTACGAGGCTACGGTTCTATCTGCAGAGAAAACCAGCACAAATTCGGGAGTCGGTTTCTAATTTTGTGAGTTGTTGCTTACCTAATCGCAGATACACATTCTTGGACTTGCCCTGAACATGACGACGCTTAATTAAGATTTGCATATGCGCAAATTCTACAAGGCGACAAGATATTCGGGAGTTATTAAATTCCATGTCATTTCTGACAGCAGGATTTTTTTCTACCAACGAGTATGGAGATTTTGACATATCCGAGAGCTGTGACCTAATAATCAACTTTTTTCAGCGCGTCATTCGATGTTCTTTGCGCTTAGACCTTTGAGCGGGCTACTGCTAATTTGTATTTTCCATCGCCTTCATTGGCCGCACAAAAAGTCATATATTAATCGACCATGAACTATTTTTTACTTCTATTGAATAACCTTTTTCTTTGCATGGAATTCACGTTTCCCTTTTATTTTTACCGAAGTAACGCGGATTGTGCCCATCCAATGTATGCCAGTTGCATGATCA